GAGACTTCTTTTTGCCAGTTGCCAGTTGCCCTGCAGCAAACAGGGACATGCACTTGCTCTGCATACTCTGCAGCCGACCGCTCCAAACGTCTACATGTACTGAGCTGGTACGGCAAATCCTCTCGAGTCTCGAGGCTATCGAAACTCCAGTCCTCGATGGCCAAAAACCTTCCTATCTCACATAATACTACCTGTAAGGTATAAGCTTCATATCCGTAGTGGCATCGTGAGGTCACGATATCTGCCAAGCTCCACTTTCTGTCAAGTCTGCCAACTTGCTTCAGGCACGTACGTCCAGGCAGCTAGCCGGCTGCCTAGCTGCCTGAGGCATCCTCACAGACATGCCGCAAATTCGGATTCGTCTCGTTCGGAAGTCGGCCACCTCTCCCGGGTCACGTGTGCTGGCACCGTGCGCTGAGCATCCAAAGTTGGACCCACCCAATGCCAATCTCCAGTTTATTTTTTTTCGTCGTGAACTCTCACCATAAAAGCTTCTTCTCCCGCCATCAATGCCGGCAATCTCAGCCTTCCTCTCCTCCAACCACATCCTTTCTACCGCGACGGAACTGCAAGCCGACTCACCAGCCGAGGCCTTACTTCTGGTCACGATACTTGTTCGCAAGTGTGCCATTGCTCTCAACTAGGGCGCCGGCCTCGGGCTCGGGGAGTTGCAGCTGACAGCTTCGTCGCGTGTGGTGATATCTCCATGGTAAGCTCACTACTCCTCCCTGGCTGCTTTTGAGCCGCTCCTCCCACCTGCATTGCTTTCCCTCGACCTCCCGCCATTGAATGATGATACACACATGTCTTCAATTTCCTCTGAATCGCCCATGAGGAAGATCAACATCGGGCTCCCTTCGCAAGGAGCCTGTTACTTGCCAGTATACTGTGTCTGACTTTTTTGTCGCCATCGCACATCTTTTTAGCGGCCCGCAAGAGCAAAACCAGCTGACCTGTTTTCTCTCAGACCATTCCGTCTTTTTCTTTTCGCAGCAATCACTCCTCGTCAAACTAATTCCAAACAGCTCAGCTAGCAGCAGCTCCGCTTCACAGGTTGGTACCCTCTACATGTCCTTGAATGTTTGTTTTTTTCTTCAACCCCCCAGATGTCGGTGATGAAAGTTCCTACCTTAACTTCGCAGTTTCCTCTCGAGCTTCTAAGAGCCTTTTGAAGCAAATGAGGGTTTACACTTCCTTGGATGACTGAGACATCATGAAAAACACTTTTTCTTGTTTGCAGAAACGTTGAACGAGCTTTCGGCTGACAAGAATTCTCCAGGATCTACTGCAAATCTGTTTTGCATGTTCATAGAGCTTGCCAACCATGACCAAAATTTATTTTCATCATGAAACTTGACGCGTCTTGTCATCCCTGTCGCGTGATACCGTAGCAACGTCTTCTCCCAGCTGCATGTGCATAATCTCAATGAATCATCCAAAATTTAGACCCGGACGTGATGCATCGGTATGGTGTGCACGAATTGGAACCGACCTGTTCTATGTGCTTGTTATTCCTCACCTTTGAAATACATCAGACCGGCTGCCTCGAAACATGTTCGCGGGCGCCGCTTCCATTCTCATCATGCAAGGGCTTGATACCTACACCTCGTTCTGTAAACCAAATCCACCTAACCCCTAAAGTCCTGGAATACCAACGCCCAGAAGATCCACTTGACCCGTCCCAAGCTCAACTCCCGTCCGTTTGGTGTTTGCGCAAATGCCCAGTCCGTTGCGAGCAGCACATTGTCATCCTTCACGCCGAAATCCTAAACCCTGACGCCCTCCCTGATTCCCTCGGGCACGGCCTCCCTCCTCACCCGACCTCCAACCATGCCCCTGCGATTCCTGCCTGTTCGTCCGCGTCCGAGCCAGTTCAGCTTGAGCAGCCGGCAGAGCTCCTCCATCTTCTTGTTCCCCTCGTCGCTCCCGTCCCCGGCGACGCCCACGCTGGCCAGGATGCTCATGCACTGCAGCATCCGCCCGACCATTTCCGTGACCTGCTTCGAGTCCTCGACGTTCTGCTCCCTGACGCTGCCGAGGACCTGCTGCGAACCTACCGCTCCCGACGACGGCGTAAAGGGCCGCAGCTGCTGATCGCTGCCGCCGCTGGCATAACTGACGTTACTGATAGCGCGGCTGCGGCTGCTCACGGCGGCGTTCCCGCTGTTGCCGCCGTTGCTGCCTGCCGCGCTCACAGCCTCGCCGAGGAGGGTGGTCGAAGTAGAGCCGTAACTGGCGAGCGAGGGGTCGAGGCTCATGGCTGTGCCTGGGCGGGCCATACCGAGCTCGGACTGCGTGGCCGGGCTGCTGGAGAGGGCGCTGACAGAGTCGGAGGCAAGTGCCATGCTGCCGAAGCTCGACGGGAGAAACTCGAGGGATAGACGGGAGAAGATAGTCTTGAGATTCTCAAAACGCGGAAGGATGATTCTGTCGCGGTAGGCGGCGAGAACTATGCGACGAATGTCGAGGACCGAGGAGGCTGGGTTCATGCCATCGCCTGCAGGGTCAAGCACGCCACCCCAAAAGTCGTACGCTTGTTCAGGTGTCATGAGGGCGCCGCAGCCGGAGAATTCGAGATCCAGGGGAAGGAAAACAGCCTGCATATATGGGAGGATGGAGGTGTAGGTAATCAGCCACATCTCAACGAGGGCTGGGATGACCTTGTCCTCCTGTGTCCGTCGCAGAGTGTGATCAAGCGAAGCGAAGCCCGTCATGAGAAGTTCTCTCAGATCTTCCAACATAATGTTGGGTGACCTGCGTTGTATGCAGTACTGTATGTGTAGATTGACCAGCCGATTGTAGTCCTCCACAGGCTGGCGCAGGTCTTCGCCCTCAAAAATGACGAGCATTTTCGCCTTTAAGAATGGCCAGGCATCATCGAGCGACATGTTGTTCAGCCCGTACTTGCCAGATTCCGTAGGGTCAACGCCAGGTGTGAGCGAATAACTCGATGCACTGGGTAAGCTGCCAGTGCCAGGCCACTCTGACTGCAGATTGTGAGTCGACTCGCTGTCCAGCCGGCTATCTGACCTCTCCGTCTTCCTGTCCTTTCTACCCTTGGCGAACGAAGACGAAGTGGCAGCTGTCTGCCCTGCTGGTATGTTGAAGCTGTAGAGGCTTGTCGGCGCGTTTGGGTCTGTTGGTTTCGAATTGCTGGATGCCGAAGACAGGGGCAGGTGGTAGTCTTCCTTCAGTTTGTTCTTCTGCCGAGACAGGAAGTTGTGCTTCTTTTCCTTCTCTTTCACCTCCCTCTCCACCAGCGTATCCACAGGTCTGATCGTCGCCGAGGACGAGTTGTTCAGACTGTAGATTGACTGGGCGCTCGGGTCGACGAGACTGTTGGTGCTGAAGTTCCCCCTTTGAAGGGAGGCAAAGGCTGATCCAATCTTGCTGGGGCTCGGAAGAGGTTTCTCCTTGGACTCGCCCTTCGTTCCGATCTTCACGGGCCTTGAAAAGAGCTTGACCTTCGACTTCTCCTTCTCTAGCTTTGCCGGCCTCTGCTCCAAAGCTTGCGGTTGCGGTGGGAGTATGGGGCTCGATGGGTGTTGTGGCAGTCCCGGTGACGATTGGCCTGATCGGGGATAGGCAGCATTGGCCGCCGAGTGGGCGGCAGAAGAGTGGTTCAGCAACCCGTTGTGGTATGAATGGTTTCCGAACCCGCTCTCGCGCGGCCCGCTCGCTTCTGTCAGACTCAGAATCGGTGGACTCAGCGGCCCCCTGCCGTTGCTTCCCCGGCGCGCGCCGTCCTCGCCGGGTGCGGGTACGGTCTGCGACCGTTGTCTCGTGTGCGCGCTGTTGTTCTGGTGTTGGAAGGCAGCCTGTGCTGCAATTTGACTCGCCGTGAGTGCGAGATTCGCAGCGGGCGGTTGGGCCATGGACATGTGGGAGAGATTCGACATGCTTGTCGATGGCAGCGTCGGTTCAAAGAGACCCTGTGTTTGGCTATGCTTCCTCGAGTGATAGCTCTTGGTCAGGGGGCTCGCGGTGCGGACGCTGCTGTTGGATGTAGTGTTCAGGTCATTGGTGTTGATGTGAGGACGCTGCGCCGTGGGCCGGGAGAAGTTCTGAAGACTGGCGGTGCTGCCGTTGTTTTGGGAGGCGAATTGCGAGTATATGGGTGTGCCTGCCGGTGCGCTTGGAGCGTGGTTTCGTTGCTTGGAAACGTTGAGGGTCAGGTCTTCGCTAGATTCGGAGTTGAGACGAGGCGCCGGACGGGGACGTTGAGGTGGTTGCATGGCAGCGGCGGCGGATGAAGCGGCGGCAGCTGACCCTGCCAATGGACTGAAGCTCCCGGGAGCCCGGGGATTGGGGCGTGCTGGTTGCATTGTCTTTGACGTTTTAGGGAGCTGTTACATCTTGGTCTTAATGCGAGACGGGGATCGACTAGGTTTAGCTGACGGGGGTAGGGCTTGGGTGATGTCGCTGGTGTCGTCGGGACGGTGGTAAGACGACACGTAGGCCGTCTGCTGTGGATCGAAGTTATTTGATGTTGTGATTGCGAAGAGGCAAGATCGAGGTCTGGGGTGAACTGGTGGAGGTTGGAAGGAGGAGAGTTGGTTGGCAGTCAGCAGCGGCTCGTCTGAATGCCGACGTGCCTCCATACCTTACCTGGTAGGTACCTAGCTACGTGGGTTGGGAATGACAGGCGCATCACCTATTGCAGTGCCCTGGGGCCTTCACGAGGGGCACTGGTACGGATGCAGCCAGTGGGTCGACAGTGTGATGGGCGAGCACAGACCGCCTGGCCGTGGCCTGGCCCCGTGCTCATATGTGTGTGCAGCAAGTATGTCACCTCGTGTGCCCATCTTTGTCCTCAGCCTCTGCCAGCGCGGAGCCTCATTTCCAAGTTGGCAGACAGCTACCTGGCGCATCGTGGACATTGCAACCATGTCAATGGCAGCACGATGTTGACTTTTTACGACTACCTATTTGCAAGTGGCCCAGAGAGCATGCCTGAAATTGCCTGCCTCGTAACAGCGACAAGTGTTGGCTCACCCAGGAATTACACAGTATGCTTCACCATTGACAACCTCCCTCAAAACGATCACCTACACAAACCTGAACTGTCCATGCGCCCAATTGGCAGTTCACACACTCTTTGTGGTCCTACCACAGTGTTCTCCCAGCCAAGCTGCGCTTCGAATCCATGCTGTTCTGAGTACAATATGAGCAAGGTCCCTTACCCAAGGAAAGGTAGTCTCCAACATGGGGCATCTATCATTCCAAAAAGCTGCCCCGCAGTTTAGCAGCCAGATGAGATGGCGGGGTGTCTCTGCTTACCTTATCATTCCACACAGGAAACGAACGAACCTGACAATCCAACCCACCGCGGGGCATCTTCACCCAGTACTTTTCACCACCCCGCACCTAGTATGTAGCATCACTCCCTCCCCTCCCCCCCAACAAACCACAACCATACCAGCCACAATGGCCGAGCCATCTCCCGCTGCGGGCACGCAGAAGCTGTCGCTCTCTGCCCAGTACAGCCACCCTACCGATACTCCCTTCACAGCGGAAGCCAGCACCGACGGGCCCTCGTCCACATCCACCGCAGACAAATCAGCCTTCCTCGCCCGCCTTCGCGACCTCGTCACGACCGTCCAGGCCGACGTCAATACGCAACTCACGCAGAGAATGGAGGAGGATAAACAGCGCGCCGCCGGTGCCGGAGGCTCCGCCGCCAATGGAAAGGGCGCCGCCGACGAGGCGAAAGAGGAGGAGAACTACGGCGAGGAGCTCCCCGAGGAGGACTGAACGCATGCATACATTCTACACACGGGATTGGGGAGCGAGGGACGAAGAACAAAAGGAGAAAAAACAACAGGCCGCAGACGCCGCACTGCCTTGACTATGCTTTGCTGCTTTACTATCTGAACATGAGGGGTATATGTCTCCCACACCCTCCTCGCGCGTCGAAAATGCTATCAAGGGACAAAAGGCCACAAGGGGAAAACAGAAGCAAACCACCGCCTCAGGCTGATCAGGAGAACACGTATGTGCCTCCGCCGCCGCCCTGAGGCGCCTCTCGCTCCCGCGTTGAGGGACTCGTCGGCTGCCAGGTTCCTTCCCCACCGTTACCGACGACGCTTGGCCGGTCTCGCGTCGACGAGCGCATCCGCCCCCAACTTCCCGCCTTCTGGCCGTCCGACTTCTGCGCCGTCGCCCTGTTCAGGCATCCGTAGTGGACCACCGTGTTGTCCGGCAGCACCGACACGACGCTGCCGCCGAGACGTTTGTGGCACACGCCGCAGAGCCGCTCGTCGGTGATGACGACACGCCGGTTGCGACCGCCCTGTCCGCCAGGGATGCCGTCGCCCAGTAAGAGAAGGGCCTGGCTGGAGATGTACTCGGTCGCCCGCAGGCCCGCGACGATGCGAGACTCGTTGACCACGCTGTTGGCCGAGCGGATACGGCCGCGGAAGTACGATTCGAGCTCGCTCACAGGCAGGGTACTCGGGATCAGTGACATGGTCGACGTGGCGGGGAGACGCGAGCCGTGCTTCGACAGAAGATCCAGGGCCGGTTCGAGGGCCGTCTTGTGAGGTGCCGGCGGTGTCAGGTAGAGCGACAGTAGCGTGTGGTAGATGGAGGGAGTGTCTTCGTCCTTGTCCTCGGGTGACGAAGGTCGCGACCGTTCCGGCGATGTGTTCGAATCGTCGTTTCTATGAACGCGATTGCAATACCTGGATTTGTCAGTTACGTAGCCCAAGATTGATCCTCGAATAAACTTACTCCTCTGCCTTGGTATAATCTTGCATCTTAAAGACATAGATCTGGAGTGCTTGTTTGTGTGATCCCATGTTGCTCAGAACAACCGCTTGTGGTTCGTAGAAGAGAGGATCTGTGACGGTTAGTCCCAACTCACAATGGCGCATCGTCAACGAACGTACCGTCTCGAGGGATGAGCCCGTAAGCCTTGCCGAGACTGTACTGCTTGCTTTCCCGCAAAAACTCCACAAACCGCACCATGAGATCGTCTTGACTGCCTTGGCTGGAGCCTTCCCGGAGCAGCTGGATGTAGAGCTCCACCAGCCGATTGTGGAAGTCAGGTGTCGAGTCGTCGAGCTCGCCAATAATGTGCTCGAGGTATTGTAGCTCGAGATGGGCGTCGATCCTCCTCAAAAAGGTGACAACACGGTCACGAGGCAACGTCTCGGCGTTCTCGGAGTCTGCGAGGAAAACCTCCATCGCATGCTGGGAGTCGCTTTCCAGTGTCCATTCCGAATAGTGAATAATCAGGTCGATCTCGTGCGGAGGCAAGTTCTGCAGATAGGCAATGGTGCGCTCGGGACCGTGCAATGTCGGCGCTGCCTCATCGGCTTTCTCCGCTGCACCGAATCGCTTCAGCAGCTCCAATGCCTGTGAGTGCAGTTTCTTGCCGTAGAAAAAGTCGACAAGCTCCGTGAACCTGTTATGCTCTAGCAGCTTCTCGTTGACCACTTCGGGGTCGCACAGATTGGGAATGCGAAACAGAGAACCTGCCAGCTGAGGGCGCCTTTTTTATGTAAGCTCGGAAAAGGGTTGTGTCGACGAGCCTGAAGGTCCTCTGAAGCTCGCCTTCGCGCTGCGCATCTTTACTCGTTTTGACGACGTTGGCATCAGGTTCTTTGATGGTGGGCGTCTGTTGAGCCGTTTGTGTCGGACCGCTTCAATCTCGTAGTGACCGGATCAATGACACGTTGAAGCCGTGTCCGGGTTCCCACGAGGTAGCCAGTCAATGCATGAACAGCATCTGCCAGATCCTTCTCCTCGAGTGTCAAATCGTCAGAAGACTTGCCCTTGATGCTCGGCGCGTCCTCTACATCCGTACCAAGCTTCTTAGATGCGATGGATGCGGTGTCTGACGCTGGAGCCTTGCGATGCCCCAGGAAGAGCTTCGCGAACCCGCCAGTCGCCTTGACCGGCGATGCTGCCGTCTCTGGTGGGTTTTCAGAGCTCGGCGAGTCCCCGTTGGTGTCTTTTGTAGAGCCATCCCCGTCATGTTTGTCTTCTTCCGCCTCGTCCTGGCGGGACTGCCCCCAGCCAGAGAGTTCACCTGATATCGCCGGCGGGTACAACTTCAGCACGCGTTCCGGCGGGGCGTGCACGTGGTCCTCGTTGAACAGGTCCATCGAGTCCCTGAACTTCTTCTGCTTGAACATTGCTTCCGCCTTGAGCATGCTGACCTCGCGGAGCGTCTCTGTCTTGTCCTTCAGCAAGGCGTCTTCTAGCATGTTCAGTATGCTGATAGCTTCATCGTATTTGGCCTTCTCCACGAGCTCGTCAATTTGCGAGTCGTAGTCGGTGGCATCCATCTTCCACACGGACCGTTCGCTCGAGATGTGGAAGCCCTTGCCGGCGTGCGCCAAGCTGAGATTCGGAGGCGGGAAATGCAGCTGCGCAGCGCCAGGAAGAGCCAACGTCTGCAGCAGCGACAACGTATCCGGGTTCCTGACTTCCAGAGACCCCTTGGCCGGTGGCTGCAGCGCCACGATGTAGGGGTACGAGTATCCAATCGAATCCGGCGCTGCCTGCCACGGAATCTGTCTCTTCTCGACCGGCTTCCCCTCGTCCGTGATGAAGAGCGTATTAATGTCCTTGGCCAGCAGCATCTCGCCCTCGGCCAGTTTCGCAGCCAGCGGCTTGGGCATGTAGCCCCCCAGGCCCATGTACCCCATTCCGGCGCTGCTGACAGCGCCGAAGCGGCTCGCCTGGCCCCCGGAGGCGCTGGATCCCGGGCTGATGATGTCCTGCACATCATGGCTCACGACGTCGACGGTGACGTAGCCCGCGTTCATGCCGCAGACGACCCTCGTCGCGCTGACCCACGTCACCGTCCGGATGGACTCGGCGAGCGTAATCTCCTCCACGTCGGTGCCCAGTTCGCTCTCGTGCCAGTTCCACACCAGCAGCCGCCGCCGAACGGCCACGGCCAGCCGGCTGATGATCTCGGGGATGCCCGTGTCCGGATCCTTGACAATGTTGGAGGTGACGGCGAAGCACGACGCATTCTTCGTGCGCGACAGCGTCTCGATGAGCTCGTACGTCTGCAGGTTGTGCAGGGAGATGTAGTAGTTGGACAGCGAGACGAGGGTCGTGGCCTCCTTGATGATGGCGAGCTGCTCAATGGCGCGCGTCGAGAACTTCTCCACCTCGCGCAGCAGATCGGTCGGCTTTGGCGGCGGCTGCGGCGGCTGCGGCGTCAGAGACGCATCGTCGTCGCCGTCGGGCGGGTTGGTGTGGGCAGAGCCGTTGGGCTCGGAGGGAGGGAGTTCGTTGAGGCGGTAGACGCGCAGTGCGCCGCTGTTGAGACCGACGAGGATCCGGTCGCCTGCGCAGACAGGGGTCAGCAAGAAGATCAACAAGTAAAGAATCTGTCAGCGTGTGCGCGCACCGTAGGCGAGTATTGTTTCGATCTTGCTCTTGTCTCGCTGCTTCAGCTCGATGATGGGCCGCGCTGTAAAGGCCGACAACATGGCAACGTCCGGCTCGCGAACCGCGCAAGCTCAGTTTCCCGGCGCCCTCATCCAGCAGAGTGTAGGTCTAGGTATGTGTGGGAGCCTGCGGTCGGATGCACAGCTCATGCTTGTTGGGCGCGAAGGGGGATTGCTGCGGAGTGCTTTGCGTGCTGGCTCTAGAAGCAGCTTCGTCCTACCGAGGAGCAACGACGTCAGTGCATGACCGGTGGTCAGTGTGGGCTCGAGACATGCACTGTCCGCACTAGGCTGCCGCCATCACCAATGCATCAGCGCTCGTGATCCGAACTCCTGCCATTGAATCAAGAAATTGTTTTAATTGTGAAGACAATATGACTGGCGCAGTTTATGGACCTGACTGAGGTCGCCAGCTATGGAGAAGAGCTCACAAGTAAATCGCAGAAAACAAATTTCAGAACACCAAAGACAATGGCTCCAGTTCTAACCCCATCACAAATGCTAAAGCTTGCGCAGTCGGAATATCCTACGCTCTTCCTTCCGTGACTACCATTGCCCATATCTAGTCGAGTCCAGCGACCCTCATGAGCCCATACCCGAGGGTGACTGCCACGATGAGAGTGAGGATGCTGCTCGGCACACCCCGGCTGATGAAGTGCTTGACCTGGAGATACCTCTGTCCGGTTGGGTCCTCCTTCATGATGGCAGCTGCACGCTAATTAGCTTCGTACGTGGAAATGACAACCTGATCGACTTACTCATGTTGGGGAAGCCACTGGTCGGAAGGCCCATGGCGGCACTGCACATGAGCACGCCAGCCATGACAAGCAGATTGGGATGGGGCTCCTCCATGCTCATGCCAACATCATACACAAGCGGCAGGATAATCAGAGCGGCAACCGTGTGACTGATAAAAGTGGCAATGATGAGTGTCAGTGTCGAAAAAACGAGGAGGACGCCGTAGAGACTCATGCCCTCGACGCGACTCGACACGATTCCGGCCACGGTGTGGAGCAGGCCGGATGACTTGACCGCCTTGCCCAGCGAGAGACCGCCGGCTGCCAAGATGATGATGGTCCAGGGAAAGTTGTTGAAATCCTCCTTGGTAAGGATGCCGATACCGAAGAAGAGGACAATTGGGATGATGGCAATCACGCCCATATCGCCAAACACCGCCTCCAACTGATGGCTAGCACACCAAAGGCCGATAGTGATGATGGTCACAATCGACACAAAATACTGCACGCCCGTGAATTTCTCCTTGACAGGCCGGATGGGCGCAATGGTGGTGCCCTTGCCCGGCTGGAAGGTGATGAGCAGCAGAATCCAGATGAGCACAATCGATACGATGCCAACGGGAATCACAATGAAGAACCACTGGATCCAGGTCGGCGCGGGCTTCATGATGCCAACAGCAACGACGTTTTGTGGCGACGCAATTGGGGACAGCATGCCACCAATGTTAGACGCCAGTGCGATGCCCATAATGACAGCCTTGGACATGGCCGAATCTTGAGGAAGTGTCCTCAGCATGGGCTCAATAATGGAAAAGCACAGCACCGGAGCAGCGACGTTGGAGATCAACATGCTTGCGAAGGCAGCGACGAGCATGTTGGCGACGAGAACGGTGCGTGGCGTGGTACCGGCCTTGCTGAGGACAAACGTTGCGAGGCGCTTGTCGATCTTGCACTTTGACAGTGCAGCAGCCAGGGTGAAGCCACCAAGGAGAAGCATGATGACTGGTGTCCACATGGAGGAGAAAACAACAGCAGTCGCAGACTTTGAGTCGAGCCTCTGATACGGTTTCTCCTCCGCTCGGACGACCCGCAACACGACGCAGAGAAAGGGAATGGTCAACGAAGTGACGAAGAGAGGAATGGCCTGCATTCTGTTAGCAAATTGGGTTCGTTAAAAAAGACGAGAGCACGCATACCTCGGTAGCCCACAGCAGACTGACAAAGACCAGCAGGGCTAGACAGTTCTGCTGCTCGGGACTCTCCATGATCGGGGCGAAGAGAATGACGAAGAAGATGGCAATGATGAGCAGGAGCTGCAACATGGCTGTGCTTGCCAGCCAACTTGGCACAGCAAAACGGCCAATCGGGGTCTTGAGCTCCTTCGTGACCGGAGTGTCGTCGTTGTCACCTTGCAGGCGCCTAGTGATGGCTGTCGGATCAGTGCCAAGCAGGCTTCGACCCAGGCTGGCAGCTTCCGCACGCCTCTCCATGCCGATCATGTCTCGCCATACCGTATTGCGCTCCCACACGACGTGCTCTCGCAGGTGAGAGCGAAGATCGCGCTTGGCGAGAGCCTCATCGCCATTGGTGACAATATCAGTGTAGGCCTGCTCCATCTTGACAATGTTGGCTTCGATCGTCTCCATGGTCTCAGGCTTGAAAGGGTAGGCTGGGTCGACAGAAGCCGCCGTGTACTTCACCCGAAGCTCCTTGTCGAGAGTCTTGTCGAATTTCTTCAGGACTTTGCGGAAGCCTGTCTTGTTGAGTTGTATGTACGACTTGAGCTCGCACAACTGGACGTATAGGCTGGTGATGCGCTTCTTGAGCATGATGCCAGAAGAAAAGGCGAACGTGCGCTCGGCATAATCATCCATGGCCAGACTCTGCCGACGTCCAGATCTTGACAGCTCGCCAGACGCAGTCATATCGCCGATGGACTGGGGCATGATGTTGGGCAGGGTTTTGCGTCGGCCACCCGCACTGATCCTGCTCTTGGTGAGCCCGGTTGTCTCGTCGTCATCTTCGTCGCTGTCTTCGAGATTGTCGTCAACTGATGAACGACCGGGGTTGCTTGCGACACGCTGCAGTCCGTCCGACGATCGGCGCCCTGATGTTGACGTGATGTCTTCGTCTTCGGAGTGGTTGCCGACGTCCCGGAGCAGGTCGTTCACCTCGTCGAGAAGCTCTCCTTCTTTGACCACGTAGAACGAGCATATCTTCTCGAGCTCGACATCGAGAGCGCGACTGAAGACCTCTTCGGGTTCTTCGTTTCGGATGAGCGGTCTCGATTCACCATCGCCGCCGGTGGCCTGGTGGGCCGTCTTCTCGAGCTGATAGATCCTGTGAACAAGGTGTCAGCCGTGCGAAGCGTGACGAAGAAATGCAAATCGGCACTACGAACAGCTTCTTGAGGTTGCTGTAAGCGACATAATGGCTGCTCCAGTCGGGCACCGCATTGAACTGGATGCTGTGGGAAAACTTCATATCGTCCTGCGCTTGCAGCCACAGCCGCTTCTCAAGTCGCTTCTCGTCGCGGCGGGCTTGTCGTGCCTCTAGTGTACGACGATGCTGGATCGGTTGGTAATTGACCAATTCGAACTCGTCGTCGTCGAGGTTTGGCTTGTTCCCTCCTCTGTCCAGAGGGTCTGTGGTGGTGGAAGGGTTGTCGTTGTCAAAACGAACTAGTCCTTGCGCGGGACCCGCTTGGTGGAGAGAGGAGGGATGACGAGATGCTGCGTGGGACGGTATGGTGAAGAACAGATAAGGCAAATGTCGGGTGACAGTATGCCAGCGCTCAAGGTCGTAGACTCACGAGGTCTTCACGACGCGTCTGGCTGCAATGGGGAAATGTAAATTCGGTCTTGAAGGCTGCAACACGTGGGGGAACTATTGGGCGGGCTGTGCTTGATGGAGTTCAATGCGAGACACACAGCAGCAAGCCGCCATCCAGCTCCAATGAGGTCAGACGTCAGCGACCAAGACAAAGCTTGGTCATAAAGCTTCAGCCACATGCACGCCTCACTGTCTTTCAGCCACAGTATTTTCTGGGACCAACCTTGGTGTCCATGATTTCGTAATATGACAGCACTCTCTTCTAGGCTTCATCTCCAGCGTCGCACCGTGACAAACTACAAACCCCTTGATGAGGAGCCGCCTCTGGATACGAATCACACTCTGTCGGTCATTTGTCATGACTTGGACGATCCAATTCAAATGAACAGAGGATGGGCTGCAGGCTATTCAGAGAAGGCTCTACCGCATCAATACTCAAACCAAGGCCTGTCGGTCGTTAGCGAGAAATGGACAAGGTGCAACAGGACGGACTTTGTCGGAATCGACTCCTTTCAGGCGTCAAATCTGCGCTCTTTAACGGTTCTACCTCAGCGGGATCCGGCTTCTCCAAAGATGACCTGATGAAAGTCCGCCTGTCGAGATCATAAAGCGCGCCGACGGCAAAGTTAGTCATCGCGCGAACGCCCAAGACTTTGGGTTTATCGAGGCGACGAGGACCATTTTAGAGACGATTGAACTGCTGAGCTCATGGCTTCATGATAGACCCCTACCGTATCTAGGCTATGGGTGCCCACGGTCTATTGCAGAAGACAGCGTACCATTGTATTCTCGGAATCGTGGGAAAGACACCAGCCGACATGATGAGATTCAATGCTCAGAAGCAGGCCGTCTTGGCTTCCGAGCATTTCTATCCGAGGTTCACCGATCACCGACGTCTAGCCCCGAACTGGCCGATCCCCCGTCCGCAAACTTCAGTTGGCCTAGGATGATCGTATCCCAACGATCAGATAATTGGTTGCTCTGGATATTCGGATCAGATAATTTCTCTTGGCATGACATCGACTTTGGTGCAAGTCGAACCGGAAAAATGGCGCAAGACACCTCATGGTAGCCAAGCCTGGCGAGCGCTGCTTCGCCTCATCCTTCTCCCTGAACTCGGACTTCCGGTGCTGCCCAACAGGTCCAACCGAGATGGGGCAGGTGAAGCCGATGCGCGCTAGACGACACGGTGCAGGCGTTGCGACGATCCAAATGGTCAAGCGGCGGTTGAGGAGGATCTGATAACTTTAAAGGACTCCACCAACCACGTCCCCCTCTTCATGTCACAGCATATGAGGAGAAACACCGATCCAGACCGAGCCACTGGTCCATCGGAGACGTGGCCATGGATCGCCCCTTGAGTGCCTATCTTGGCTATCAGAATATGCCCAAGGTTCCGGGGCACCCAGAGGCCAAAAGAGGGGGGTTTGGAGACAAGAAAACCGTCCGTTTCCTCCACTGTCACTCGCAAGATTATTCCTCTTTCGAAACGTACCGGAGGGTTGAATTTCAGTGCACATCGGCATTCCTGCTCCTTCTCTGTATTCCTTGTGTATTCTTGATATTTCTAAGTGCTGCGAGAGCCTACACCGACATCATGGGCTCCCTCCAGAACACCGTTCCACCGTTCCGCCTCCTCGTCGCCGGCGGCTCCTACGCTGGCCTCTCTTTTGTTGTGAACCTCTTGGATATCTGCAACGGCCGTTCTCCGCGCATGGCCCACGAACCGTACTCTCATCACCCGGACTTCACTCGCATCCCCGTCGACATAACCATTGTCGACGAGAGGGACGGCTACTGTTGGTTCCGCCGACTCTCCCTCTTCGCACGTATCATGACCCATCTGACATTCTTACGCAGTCCACCTCATCGGCTCTCCACTCGCACTTGCCTCGTCCGACTATGCTGCCAAGACCTGGATCAAGTTCCAAGACATCCCTGCTCTGCAGAGGCCGAACATTCGCTTCGTCCAAGGCAGCCTTGATAAGATCAATACCACCGCCAAGTCAGCCACCGTACTCTCTCACATCACCAAGATCCCCCAAGACATTTCCTATGACTTTATGGTCAGTGCCACAGGCCTGCGCCGCCCCTGGCCCGTCGTTCCTCAGTCCCTGCTGCGAAAGCAGTTCCTCCTGGAGGCCGAGGAGCAGATTCACGCCGTCCACAACGCCCCCGATGGCGTCGTCATTGTGGGTGGCGGCGCCGTCGGCATCGAAATGGCGGCCGAGCTCAAGCTCGTCAAGCCCGACGCCGACGTGACGCTCGTGCACTCCCGCGAGAAGCTTCTGTCCTCAGAGAACCTGTCGGAGGAGTGCAAGGACGTGGCCCTCGATCTCACGCGCGAAGCCGGCGTCGAGGTTCTCCTCAACCACCGCGTCGCCGAGACGCGCAAGCTCGATGTCCCCGAGGGCAGTCGTGCGCGCTACGAGGTTGAATTTACGAGCGGCGAGAAGCGCTTCGCCAGCGAGGTCATCATGGCCGTGTCGCGCCCCGTGCCCTCGACGGGCTACCTGCCCGCCGAGACGCTCGACGAGGAGGGTTACGCCAAGGTCGACTCGAGCCTGTTCCTCGAGGGCGTCAGCAACTCTGACTTCCACCTCGTTGCCGGCGATGCGTGCAAGTGGGAGGGTATCAAGCGCGCAGGGGGCGCCATGCACATGGGACACATGGCGGCGATCAACGCGCACCAGCGCATGATCGCGATCCTCGCCAAGGAGAAGGGACTGGAACACAAGCCCGAGTTCAAGGTGCTCGAGGCGTTCCCGCCCGCCATTGGTCTTGCCGTCGGCAAGAAGGCTGTCGCGTACGGCCCGGACATGGGCACGATCCATGGCGAGGAGGTGATGGAGGCGTACTTCCGGGACGACCTGGGCTTCACGAGTAAGTGCAGCGCGTTTTGTTCTGATCCATGTTCTGATCCCATGTTCTGATCCCATGTTTCGGGTCCGCTCACATTGGCTAACCGCATCGCAGTCTGCTACAACTGGATGGGCCTTGGGAAGAGCCCTGCCGAGGAGGAGGAGGCGGCGGTCGTTGCCGCCGAGACGGCTGCGAAGACGGCCGTTGACATTACCGAGGAAGCCACCAAGGTGGAGGAGATTGCGGCTTGATTTGGGTTGGCTTGTTGGCGTACATGGCACATGGGACAAGACTGATACCGGATACCCCGTTGATCCGCTTGGATGGGAAGGTCTTTATGGCACTCTGGATATGATGATTTTAGGTGGACGACGGCGTCTGGGAACATAGATTTTCGTTTACATCAAGGCTACTTGTGTTTTCATCGCACGTTGATACGGTGTCAGACTTGTGACCAGCACAGCACACAGACAATGTCTGCCTCATCCCGTGGAGCGCATGCAGGTGACGAGTAAGTAGCGTGGCCTCATGACGCGATGGCTTGTGATGGACAATGTGCTCGGCCATGGGTCCAGGATCGTAGGAGGAAAAGATTTTTATCAGATCGAATGCCATCGGGGGTTTCGCCGGAATCGGCCCAGCGCTGGAGCGTGGATGGGCCTCTTGGGGCCTTGGGGCCTTGGGGCCTTGGGGCATCAGGGCCCTGATGCCCCTGATGGAGCCCCTAGAGTTATCTGATCCGCTGACATTCCCTGACCCTGGCCTGCCCTGCTGTGATTTGCATCGCACCCCCCCCCCCTCTCCTCTCTTTCTCTTCCCTGTTGCATCCTTGACCCTGCACTGCACCTCTTCACACCACCATCTAATTGCACCCTACCTGGCTGTGACCGTCACTTGGCCGAGGTACATCGCAGTACCAGTCCACCACTCGATCCACCTTCTTCAACAATGCCGCCTGTCCACCCCCCCTCCCCTCCCGATCAACGTCGGCTTCTCTTCATTGGGAAACCAGAGCGCGGAGGTTGGATCGATGGAGTGGATGACGCGAGGGGTGCTTGGGGGGGTCTGCATCGCCCATAACCGAACAGCAGACTCGCTCGCTCTCCTTGCTCGTTCTCGAAGGCAAGGGTCCTGCGTTCTGGATCGGCAGCAGGCATGTCCAGCCGACCGACCGACTGCCAAACCAGCTGCAGCATGACATGACATGGGAGGGAGATATTTTTGAGAGAGCTTCCTCGTAGCTCCGAGGCGCGCCGCTCACACCCTCGTTCAGCTACCCGGTTGCTAGTGCTGGTATTGCCGTCTGTGTGTTGCCGAACAAACACGGCAGCTCGGAGACGTTGCACCTGCCATTGACATCTCTCTATCATCATACCTACCCAAGGTTAGCAGGCAGGACTGACAAAAACCTGCATCATGTCGACTTCCACGACCCTCGCCAGCTTGTCACCAGACGAGACGCTCATCAAGCTCCCGAGCCCCTACTCGACCGAGTACACCCTCCAGCGCGCCTTCAACCACGATGAGTTCTCCGGCAAGACCTCCGAGGGCGGCCTGCACTTCTACAAGCTGATCCCTCGCGCGACACAAGCCAAGGGCGCGGCCGAGCTGCCTGAGCCGCTGGACAACCCCGAACTCTACTTTGCAGAGCCCGCCGAGCTCAAGTCGAGCGAGCTGCCGCCCGACTCGAACAACAGCGCCTGGGCTCGATCCCGCCGCGCCCCCAACTTTGTCGTCTCGTGGCCTGGTCAGAAGCAGCCGACGCTCGCTCAGGCATGGCTCCTCGTCTACGTCCTCTTCACCATCAGGCCCGGCACCGAGCTGGCGCGCCTCGAGCTGCGCGGCACGGATGCCGTCCTCCTCGGCCAGCAGCTCCAGGCCGTCGCGCTCGCCATCGAGCACCCTGCGCAGAACGGCCAGCAGAACCCCGAGGCGACGCCCACGAGGTCCACCGTGGTCCTCCTGCGCAGCGCCTTCTGGCAGGGCGCCGGTTCGCCCTTTGGCCCCCGTCCCGTCTGGCTGCCCGCCGAGTCGCCCTCGCCGCTGCTGCCCGCCGGCCGCTCCCTCTCTTCCTACCCTCTGACGCCGCTTCAGCACACCATGACGCTGACGCCTGCCGGCGACCCCTCGAACCCGACGCTGCACCAACAGGCCTGGCACCCCATCCGCCCGGCCAAGCCAGCCCCAGGCGCCGTCGTCTACAGCCGCTGGATCCCCCACCTCAAGGAGACCTTCTCCATGGTGTCGCTCGACTACACCGACGCCGAGCACCTGCGCCTCTTCCACGAGTGGCAGAATGACCCGCGCGTGTCCCAGGGCTGGAACGAGACGGGCACCCTCGACCAGCACCGCGAGTACCTCCGCAAGATCCACGAGGACCCCCACCAGGTCGCCGTCCTTGCCGCCTGGGAGGGCACCTTCTTCGCCTACTTTGAGGTCTACTGGGCCAAGGAGGACAAGCTCGGCGGCTACTACGACGCCCAGGACTGGGACCGCGGCCGCCACTCCCTCGTCGGCGACGTGCGCTTCCGCGGCCCCCACCGCGTCAGCGCCTGGTGGTCCTCCCTCATGCACTACCTCTACCTCGACGACCCCCGCACCAGCTGGGTCGTCGGCGAGCCCAAGAAGACCAACGACACGGTCCTCATGTATGACTTTATGCACGGCTTCGGCCTCGACAAGTTTGTCGACCTGCCGCACAAGAGGAGCGCCTTTGTGCGCTGCTCGCGCGAGCGCTTCTTCCAGCTGTGTCCGCTCGGCGACAATGAGAAG